GTAAGGTGACTTGCCTAGGATCACATGTGACATTAAAATATGTCACAGTGTCAGCTCTTTCATTATCTACTCTTCCTAACCTAGAGTTTCCCAAAAAGTTGGTATATATATATGGCTCCTGCCCAGTCCTGCCTTTGCTGATGCTATTTTGCTCTGCTTGGAATATTTGTTGTCCCTTTGCCTGTCTGTATTCTGCGAGTTCCCTATCTTTTGAAGTTCTTGCCTGAGCACTCCAGGATATATTGATATTTCACTTCTCTCTCTTCCCCTATGAAAGCTCTCGCAAAGTAACATTTAATTGTAACTATGGACATTTTGGAGTTGGAAGGGATGCCGGCAGTCGGTATATTGGAAAGAATATGAGACTGGAAATCAAACAAGTCTCTCCTACAAGCTTGTGAGTGCTGGCATCGCAGAGGAAGGGAGGCGAAGGTCCAGGGGGGAAACAAAGGTTCCGCCGGACTCATGCGTAGAAGAGAGGCTGTTTTGAAGTGAGTCCTGAAGGATGAAAGAGGAGGTGGGAAAGGCTGCTTTCAGCTGAGGAGCCATCGTGAGCAGAGGATCGTGGGCGTGAAGATCCGTGGTGTGTGGGGTTCCAGTAGCTTTGGAGATCGTACCTTCTGGGCAATGCCGGAGGTTTAAAAACATGTGCTGGTACTGTCACCGTCCTATCATCTTGAACGCCCTCAGCACGTGCCACAGTGCTCGCCATCTCAAATGATCAAGGTGACGCCATATTGAGTGGTGTTAGCCATGCGCAGCACATAATTTTTACTTATTTTCCCTTACTTTTTTATTTTCTGTTTACAGTGTATAATGCTTATGATTATTCTTAATTCTTGAAGTCTTTATGACTTTTAAACACTTTTTGAGGCTTGCTTTTCCTGGTTCTTTAAGTTATAACGATAGGTACTCTTTATAGTACTATTTTATAGGCATCGTTGTAAGCGCTGTACATGTAAGGATTTAATTTTTCACATTTGTCTTATGTGGTTAGTGCTGTTATTCCTGTTTTGTAGACGAGAAAACAGAAGTTACGTGACTTACTTGAGGCCCCCCAGTGAGTGGTAGAGCGAGGGTTTGAATCTAGCAGTCTGGCTGCGTATTCTGCGTTTTGAACCTCCACACTGTAGTGCCTCTCCAGTAAAATTTTGTTTTTCTGCCTCTGTTTTAAAAAAGATGATTGAATACTCATCCATGTATCAGCCAGTTTTTCTTGTACATTTTTCGTTTAGTGTATTCACTAGAGACATGCTTTCATATATAATTCATTGTAGATGAACATTTATTAATATTGAAAGTAACATTTTATGAGCCTGTAAGCTGGGTGTGTATTCTGAGGCAGTAAGTAGCCTTGTTTGCAGTTCTCATAAATCTGTTTTGCAGTTTCTATTTGTTTTGTGAAATTTCTATCATTTCTTTTGTATATGTTTCTTGAGGTCCTACAAGAAATTTTTTTTTTCGTTTGAGTTTTATACTTGATTTATATGTGAATCCCACATTTCTCCCTTATTATTCTTATTATTTTTAATAAAATGCTGAAGTGGTAGGTAAATGCAAGATAAAGGTAGAAAACATAGTTTAGTGCTGTAAGAAAGCAAATGTAGATGATCAGGTGTGTGCCTGTAGGCTAAGTATTAATCCAAGCTAGACAAGGGCAATAAAACATCCACAGATGCAGAAGATTTCTCTCAGAACAGGGGGGGTGAGGTTCTAAGCCTCACCTCTGTTGATCCCCAATTTCTCTACAAGAAATTTATACCTAAGAAACAATGGTAGATGGAAGTAAGGTACCAATTTATCTTCCACTGGTTCTGTCCCTAATATCCTACCTCAGGAGTTTGGTAAGGTTCAAATGATCCAGGCCAGTTTACCAAAGTTTTGCAATGGGATTTTAGGTGCAAAACCAGTAAGTGCTAACTTCATTCTTGCATCACTGTTGAGTGAAGTCTTGCAGAAGCAAAGAGAAGAGGGAGGCATCGGCCTTCCTTTTAATGTTCCCGACACATGGGGAGAAGAAGAAGAAAATACCATGGAAACAAAGAGCAGGATGACCAGCTGTTTTCATTTGGCAGCGTGGAAGGGCGAGTAGGGAGCCACCCCCACATCGAGATATTTTGGCTTATGGTGACCCTTGCCTATTAATAAACAAGACTCAAAGAGTGTCTGGAATCTGACCAGTCGGATCGTCATGCCTTCTTGAGAGGATGGTGGCTAGAGAGAAGAGAGACCTGCGGAGATGCCTTTCCTTAGGCGGCCATACCCACTTTAATTTTTTAATTAATTTTTACTGAAGCATCATACATTATTATGTTAGTTTCAGGTGTACAAAGTGATTTGACACTTACATACGTCCCACAATGCTCACTGTGATAGTCCCCGTACAAAGTTATCACAATATTATTGGCTCTATTCCCTGTGCCATAGTTTCCATCACCGTGACTTACGTGCTTATGATTGGGGGTTTGTACCTCTTTGTGGTCATCTTCCCCCCCCCCTCCCCGCCCCACACCCGACCAGTTTGTTCCCTGTATTTGTGAGTCTATTCTGGGTTTTTGGTCCTTCATTTGTTTTTTAAATTCTACATGTAAGTGAAATCATATGGTATTTGTCTTTCTCTTTTGACTTATTTCACTTAGCCTAACACCCTCCAGGTTCATCTACATTGCTACAAATGGCAAGATTTTGTTCTTTTTTATGGTTGAGAAATATTCCATTGTGTATATGTACCACGACACTTAGGTTGCTTCCGTGTCGTGGCTGCTATAAATAATGTGGCAGTAAGCACAAGGGTGCATATATCTTTTCAAATCATAGATTTTGTTTTCTTCAGGTAAATTCCTAGAGGTGGAGTTACTGGGTTGTACGTTATTTCTATTTTTAGTTTTTGATGACCCTCCTTACAGTTTCAGTGGCTGCACCAGTTTACGTGCCCATCAACTGTTGGCAACGCTTGTCATTCTTGTCTTTTTGATACTAGCCATTCCAGTCGGTGTGAGGTCATACCTCAATATTGTTTTTATATTCATCTCCTTGATGATCATCATGTTGGTCATCTGTATGTCTTCTTTGGAAAATTTCTATTCGGGTCCTATTTAATCAGGTTGTTTGTGTTTTTGTTGTTGAGTTATATGAGGTCTTTAGGTATTTTGTATATTTACCCCTTATCAGGTATGTCATTTATAAATACATTCTCTCATTCAGTAGGTTGAATTTCATTTTTGATTTAATTTTAAATTTTCTCCTGAATTACATTTTCTACTTATTTTTTCTGAGGAAGAAAAATCATCCAGTATAACAATGTTGATAATGATTTTCAACTTTAAAACTGTATTTAAATGTTCTTAAAATCTCTTAGGAAATAATAGCTCTTTGTCTCAAAGCTCTTTCTCTCTGAGCACAGAATAATCTCAGTTGTAGCTGTCAGCTACTTGGATGTAACAGGGTTGCAGAAGTCACTGCTAACCACCTTTATATCAGATTCAATTTTAGATTTACTTATTCGTCATACCTTGGATTTCGTTATTTCCTGCCACTAGTAAGTTTATTCATAAAGAATAGCTGTTACTGTGATCAGAAGGCAATGAGGGCTGACCTATTTTCAGTGAGTTAATTTTTTGTGATTTGTAAATTTGGGAATTTCCTGCACTGAGAAGAAATTCAGTATGTTGTTTGAATTTGATGCCTATCAAGGTGAAATCAAATGAAGTTTGAGTGCATGTATCATTTGCTTAAAATGGTGACTTTTGTGGATAGATTTTAATTAAAGCTAAGACATGTATGCTGAAAAGAGGACTGTGCCCAGAATTTTTATCCTAGTCTGGCTGTTACTGAGCGTTCTTGTTCTGGTTGATGGAGTTGTTCACCTCTTTTCTTCTATGACTTACCTGTAGATAAAGGTGCATTCTGTTGACCTCCAGGTGCATTCAAGTATAAGGATAGAAAATTCAGACCTCTACTGGTGTTTTTCCTCTCTTTGACTAATTAATTTATGACAATCTTGCATTTGGCTTTGGTCAGTGGAAGAGAAAAGAGAAAAGAAGTCCTTCAATAATTGTTAATAATTGATGTTTGACTAAACTAATATGGTTATTTAAAATACTTCCAAAGGCTACACTGTGATTAATTATGAATCAGCTAGCCTATGAAAGGTTGTGGTGTTACCCAGTTGTTGGATTTTTGCTCTGGAAGACACTTGGCTATTACAGAAGTCAAAGCCATGTCCTTCTTGCATACCCGGGGTATTTCAGTTTGCAGATTTGGTGCTATCTTTGTGGTGTAGGAAATAGTCCAAGTTCCGAGTAAAAGCATTTCCTTTTTAACTGGGGTGGGGGGTTGTGAGCGGGGTTTGCAGAGTGTTTAGGATTTGAACAGGTGAGAGAAGAGCCTACTAGTCAGGAGGAAAGTAGAACAGACAGCAAGATATTTCAGGGGACAGTTTTGCTAGAGGATTTATAAAAGCAAGTATAGTAAATAGGACTAGAAACGTTGGTGGAATCAAATTTCAAAGCATGAAGTTTAGAATGGAAATAGGATTATACAAAGATTTTCCCCTGAGGGGAAGGGAGAGGTGTTTTTTTGCAGGAAGAGTCAGAACTGTGTGTAATAGGAGGGGCTGAGTATGTTAGATGTCAGGGATAGTTGTGGGGGGTAATATTTTGGAATTGGACTATAAGGGCACGTAGAGCGCCGGTGAAGGGTTCTCGTCAGATAAGCAGCGCACTTTTTAGGGGCTTGAGCGCTGCAAGTATAGTTTCCCTTGGGCTGTGGTTCCTTAGTTGTGTATGTCAGCATATGTAATTTTGAATTGGTTGCTTCTGTGTTTCCTTTCAGTAATAGCTCTGCATTAAGAAACTGTCTTACTGATGTTTGCATTCATTCTGAAGAGTGCCTATCGCACAGTTTTTCAAAGGGAATGATGTTTATGGCATTCATTTTTTTCCTCTAATCTTTTTTGTTTCAGAGCGGGTTCATTGACCCTTGCAAAGATCTGACTAATGCTCTTCCTTCTTATTTTCAGTTTGGCTTTGGTTGAAAGAAGAATTTAGCCTGTATGCCCTGCTTCAACCATTGGAAGAATGACAGATGACAAAGATGTGCTTCGAGATGTGTGGTTTGGACGAATTCCAACTTGCTTTACCCTCTGTCAAGATGAGGTAACCGAACGGGAGGCGGAGCCATATTATGTAAGTCTGTGGATGGTGGCAAATGGGGTATCTAACTTTGTCCATTTCTGTAAAAAAACCTGTAAAAAAAAAATGGAGGCTGTTATCCAACATTTTACATACAATTAATAAATGCTATTTACAGAAAAAAAATTAGAAAATACACATCAGTAAAAATTAGAAGATGCAGAACTTTCTTTTTACTAATCCTACCATACAGAGGAAAAAAAAACACTGTTGATACATTGATGTGGGACCTTCTTGACTATTTCCTTATGCATGTGTAATATGTGATAACAGAATCGTAAGTTATGTGCTGTTTTCTAACAGGAAGTTATTTTGAAAATAATAGGTTCAGATTGATTGTTTTGTATTTAGGTCGTTCCAACAGCTGTATAACAAATTCTTTTTTATAGCTCAGTGAACATATGAATGTATGTTTTCACATTTTGATGAGCTAATATGCATTATATGAAACAGTATTTAGTAACAGATTGCTGTATGTAGACTTGTAGGTTTGAATTAGTATGTTATCTGTTGAAATAAAAAAGGATGAAATTATCTTCTGCTTTTGACCTGATTTAATTCTGACTCTCCTTTTCTGTGTGCATATATAATTCCGATCCATGACTCTGTCAATCAGAGCCAAAAGCATCTTGCCTGCGTACTGAACAGCCCCCAAGAGGTAACAGCATTCGCAGTTGTCATTATTATAGTTTGTTCTTTTTGTGTCTCAGGTACACGTAATATTGTTTGCCCAGGAGGATCTGGGTAAGAGTGGAAGTGCATTTGTGGTCCTTGACCATTTCTTGTTTCACCTTAAAGAAGCCTGCCCTCTGCTCTCTCCCCGTCTCTCTGAGGGGCCGCCCTGCCCCTCAGCCGGCTCCAGCTAGGGAAGGCAGCCAGTGGAGGAAGCTACCCCAGGAGCCCCTTCACCAACTTGTTTAGGATAGGAACTGCTTCACTTTTCTCTGTTCACCCTCAGTGTCTGGTGTAGGTTGTGCAAGTGGTAGATATTTGGTGCACGGAAGTCTCTCACACTTATGTTGAGGTTTTGTTTAAAATTGTCTCTGGATTTTCTCACTGGAAATAATCATTTAAGAGAAATAAGGCAATCTTTTGTTACTAGTACTCTTTATCATAATTGATCATATACACTTGAATCATTTTAATCTTGGCAATCTCGACACTTTTCTGCCTTAGAAACCATAGTAAAAAACAAAACACGGTCATAATTTTTTTTTAGAAGAATTTCATTTGTTGGATATATTTTTCTCTTCTCCTGCTATAATGGTCAGGATGTCATTTATGTTTTGTTTCCAAACTAGTTTTTGCTATTTTAATTTTAAGTTTTTACTTTGGATGGCTTTCTAATAGTATCTAACCAAAAGAGTATGTGTGGCTAGTTGGTCAAAGTGGCAAAAACAGAAATACCTAACTTGCTTGTTTACTTTTAAATCAGAAGGTGATGTTTGACACACTTCCTGAAGTTAAAAAAAAAAGAATCCAGGTGAAGAAGATAGTACTTTTCCTTCTTTATATATTAATCTGTTTAAATATGAAAAGACTTGTGAGAACTTGAGTGTAGATTGTTTTCTAGATGTTTCTAGTCAGATTAAAAATAGCAAAAAGTTGGGACTAACTGTAGGAGGAAATTTGTTTTGTCTGGTTACTAACCTTTGTCCCATCTGTGGCATCTCTGATTCATTCAGCAAATGTTTATTGTGTGCATACTTTAAAGCAGGCCCTGTTTTGGTCATTTGGAATATAGTCAAACAAAACAGACAAAAATCCCTGTCTTAATGGGACTTACATTCTAAAGTCCCTCATTCCTTACTGTAAAGAAGTTTTTGTTTTGTCAGAATCATTTGTGAATTTTTCAGCAACCTTAATTGAACCCTAGGCATGTAGTACAACCCTCTCCGGAATCAGGAACCTATACCCATACCTCCTTAGTCCTAAAGTGTCTTCCTTGTTACAATCGCCATTGGTTAACAGCATTCTCTAGAGACCAGAGTACTAACTATGGATCGCCCAACAGACATTTTAAATTAAAGTTCTGGACTTAACTAATACAGAACTTATTAGACTGACAGGTTACGTTTATTTATTTATTGTAAATGACTATCATGCTCTTTTAATTTTTTGGAGACTTCCCATGTTACATCTGTATTTGATTCTGTCATTTCTGAACCTAATGAACCTTTTCTTTGCCATTTATTTAATAGAATGTGATTTTGGCATGTTACTTAAGCTGTACTTAAATAAAATGTAGGTGATAATACTTTCTATAAAACATTGTGCTTTCCCTTATGTATAGTCCATCTTAGTTTCCTTTTTCTTTTCTTCCCTAATCCATATTCTAGTTGTTTCTTTACAAAAGAGGGGCTTCATTCTGTTGAAGTCAAGGTCCTAGCCAACAGCTCGCTCCTAGTGTTATTAGTACCCCCTATTCCGTAGCGGGGCATGCCAACTACCTCCCACACCCCACTCCCTATATATCCCCTAGGACCTCTTAGTTCTCTTACCAGCTGGGGCCTGTTTTCTTGGTGTTCAGTGATTAAACATCAATTCCTTTAACCAGAATATTTCTCACTGTATGTGTTCACCAGCCTAGTGGTTGTTCTTGGTGATTTACGAGCAAAAGGCATAACCTTGAATAAGCAGCAAGAAAAATAATGCAGAGAGAGACTCACAAAAGCAACTGAGAGAGAGTAACAGAGCACTTTTCTCAGCAAAAGCAGACAGAAGCTTAGGAAAGCAGGAAATGGCTAGAGTGTCTACTGCAAAGGAGGAAAAAACATGAATTTTTGCTCATTTCCTCCTTTTATGTATTTGTAGGCTCTTTGTATAAACCCTAACCAATTTTCTAAAATGCTCTCTTATGTTTTTTTTCTGGATATCTTCCTGGGGGTGGACACCGCTGGCCCAAAATTCCCCCCAGAATTTTCTCTCTCCCAAGTCCAAGCAGCCCAGCCTCCATAAGGACAGAATTGAGATCTGATTGACAGTGGCAGGATCACCAGGCTACCAGCATCATACCTTAAGCTTGTGCTTTATTGCTCTTTAAAGACTTAATGTGTAGCTCAAAAGTCAGGCATCTTTGTCTCTTTCCTTCAGTTTCTTGATTAGTAATTAGCAAAATCTGTTCTGACTGATGTCCAGATCTTACCACTTTTCCATCCCTTCATCCCCATCTCCTTATGTGATATCTCCTTAATGGATTTCCTGCCTATATATAATCTTAGCTTCTTTGAGTCTTTTAGGTACAACTGCTAGAATGTTCCTCAAGTACTGTTTGCCCTTCTATTGATGGCAGTTCATCAGATGAAAATTTCTGTTGACCTTTAAAGGCCTTTCTTTCTGCTGCTGCCATGTAGTATTTTTATGAAAAACAACTTTTTGTTTTACTTCTACTTTATTTTAGCTTCATATAGAAGAGGACAGATTATGTCTTTGTGTGTTCTTCATTGCCACTAATTAATATTCAATAGATTATCAAACACAGTGGACCAATGAGAAGGCCTGATTGATATGTCAAGGTACATTAGGACTGAGTTGATTATCTTCTTAGAATAGTTTAATTAACTCAGGTGAGCCATACTAATTTTTAAGTTAACCTTGATAGAAGTAGTAAGTATCCTAAATAGTAGTATCTGATCACATTATGTATGACGGCTGTTTACATTCTATGTTTATTTGGAGAGAAGTATGGAAAGATTGTACATAGGTTTGTGTTGCTTATTCAAGGCACTTATGCTATGAATTGTACTTAATGACCTCATGAGAAATTTTAAAATGTCTTAACTTTTAGACTTTGATTTGCTATATAAAAAGTAGTTAACTTTGTGAGGAATACTTTAAGTAGTGCAAAGGTCATGGCTATTTTTCCTCAAAATTCAAAAGCCTACTTAGTATATTTTTTTGAAAAAATAGTAAATAAATTTGGTTTTACAATTTCATTTCAGTTGCTTTTGCCAAGAGTAAGTTACTTGACGTTGGTAACTGACAAAGTGAAAAAGCACTTTCAGAAGGTTATGAGACCAGAAGACATCGGTGAGATATGGTTTGAATATGAAGGCACGCCTCTGAAATGGTGAGTGACTCTTTCCGCATTATTAAGCGTTGAGTACATACTAGCTTTAAGAAGACGTGGTGCCCTGAAGCAATTTTTAAAAAATTCTTTAGAGAAACAAATCACTAGTTAACCTCATAAAATACAGTGAATTTTGAACCATTGTTAAAATATTTTATTGAAGATATTTCTGCCTTCTTTATAGATACAATAGGAGACTGGATAGATTTGTGTATTTTCAGCAATAGATTTTTATGTGGGATAATGAGAATATATATATATATTATATAACAATCACACACACACACACTTTTTTTTTATAGATGTGTTTAAAACTCCCTTATGAATAAGTCACTCTGACACTATTCAATTTTGTTTTATCTCTAAAGTCTTTATGGTGTATCTTTATATGCACATGGTTACCCAAAGTGGCATCTTTTAAACTGATAGCCATGTTTAATTGATCATTGTGCCATAAGTGCATCTTACCTAGCCTTAGTTTTATATTTAAAATACATTGCTTTCCTTTTTATGTGAAAAATAATTTTAATAGTATATCATTTTTAAGAAACATATTGAAGATAAATCCCAAATCTGGGCCTCTCAGTGTAAGATGGTGTGTTTTTTTACTTCCTCTTTTACTGGGAGTATTGTTCATTGTGCTTACAAAAATACTTAATGAAAGTGGAGAAAATACAGAGAGAATAATATTAAAAAATGGTTCAGGGTGTACTGGGATATAGGTGTTGAAATGCTGCCATGTGAGTGTTGAATGAAAAAGATGCAGACAGAGTCAAGGTTTAAATGAAATATGCAAAATATAAATAGGTGAAAAGTGGACTTCCTCTCTGAATCTGGGAGTATTTAAATGAAGAATTTTAAAAGAGAATTAAACAAAAGGAAGCCAGTGGTGTTTAATAAGGGCAGCTGACTTAAATTCAAGGATCACTTAGAAACCAGGAATGAACTCTTGGGACTCTGCTGGTAGATTCCCAAGAGTCAGTAGATTTTTCATACTGGTTTAGAAATATACAAGATGATATTCTGTATTGAATTATAGGCAGATTTCTAATCTTTTGAGATGGTTCTGGGAAGGGATGATAAAGTTCTTTTTTTATAGCCTTCATTTTTTAATAAAAACAGAATACTGAGCTTCAGGGTCACGTATCAGACTCATTATGACTCTTGAGTAGTTGTACACCTCAAGCAGCACAAATAAGTACATGTTTTTCATTTCTGTTTATTTCCCAGAAGAAGTGGAAGTTTTGGAATGGGAAGGTGGCTTAAAAGAAGTGTAAGAGGAGTAAGGAGGAGGGGAGGAGGGGGAGAGGAAGGAGGGGAGTGGTTGTGGGTGAGTAGCAGGGGGGTGTATCTATGTTCTCAGGAGCTCTGTCTGTCCTGCACTTGGATATTAAAATTGTATCGCTTTATGTGTATCAGGTATAGGTTATTGTAACAATCTGTGCAACTGACGCTGGGACTTCCCAGTTGCATCCTGGTGCAGCAGGGTTTCTCAACACGGGCCCCGGTGACCTTTGCCCTGGATGATTCTGTGTCGTGGGAAGGCTGCCCTGCACACTGTGGGGTTTTGAGTTAGCAGCCCTGGCTCTACCCGGCCGTGCCAGTTGCGTTCCCTCCAGTTGCAATAATAAAAAAGGTCGCAGATGTCCTGGGATGAGGGGCACGAAAACCACCCTCCATAGAGAAACTCTGGGAAAGATGGGAAACTTCAATTTAGCCTTCATATTTTATAGTAAATAATTGCTGAGTCACCATCCTTGAACTACTGTTTTAATCTATCCTGTGGTGTTTATTTTTGAATTTCATATGATTTATATTCTGTATTTGTATTTTATGATTATCAACAAATGTTTGAACCCATTTCTCCCTGTCACTAAGGAGTAAACACTTTGAGTTAACATATTATGTTCCTACTTTGTCAGTATTTATCTCTCCTGATAGTCTTTTCTTAAAGAATACAATTATTCTCCCTAAAAATTATTTGGAGAGCATATGTGAAAGTAATTGTGTCCGCATGTCATCTTTTTAGGTTTTGGGGGTTAAGTTCTATGGACGATGCCACTTGCGTAGTCACGTCTTGCCATAAGCTCAGGTGTGCCGATACAATCTGTCTTGTAAGTGCAGCAGGCACCCCCTTATCACAGTCTGCTTTCCGTGGTTTCGCTTCTGTGGTGTCAGTTACCATGGTCAGCCGTGGTCCAGGAGCTGACGATTCTCCTTCTGATGTATCGTCAGAAGGTCCCTGGTAGCTTAATGCCATGTCTCAGTGGCTACGTCATTCACCCCATTTCCTCTCATCACGTAGGCATCTTATCATCTTATGTCATCACAAGAAGAAAGATGAAGACAGTACATCAGATATTTTGAGAGAGGCCATATTCACATAATTTTTATTATAGTATATTGTTATAACTATTCTATTTTATTAGTTACTCTTCATTTCTTACTGTGCCTAATTTATAAATTACACTTTATCATAGGTATGAATGTTTATCTGTTCTTTACTCACAGTAGTAACAATTTTCTCATATGTTAAAATAATTGTGTTCCTGGAAATAGGCTTTTAACTCTATCTGTCATCTCAGCAGTGGGCTTCATAGGATAGGGTCATCCTCGAAGGGAAGCAGCTGCCGCTGAAGTGCTGTAGCACTTGCACTTTGGAGACTGTACAAGTGTCTTAAGAATACAAGCATTTATTTCAAGTTTTAAATAAATTCAAGTGAGAAGAGAAAACACCTCAGACAGTTCATAAAAGAAGGGAGAAGGAGCATAAGCTGATCCTCCTTTTCCCTCTGTAGCTCCTCCTGCGCTTAGTGTTACTATGATTGTTTGACTATCTGTGAGATACTTGATCAGGGGCTTTGCCTGCTAAACAGCAGCAAGCAAGAGGTGCTTAAGTGATGTTCAGTGAATGAATGAGTCTAAGTCTCTTTTTACTGAGAAAACTGAGGCTTGGATAAATAAAATAGAGCCACATTTTGAAAGTCTCGTTTCAGAGCTCTCTCCACCACACCTGCTGATGCTCTGACTGTCATGTGTTGTTTTCTTCCATGTATGTTCTAATTGCTTATGCTAATTTGCCTTTATTAGAATAGGAAAGTAATAATTGTGGTATACACCTAATGAATACTTGGCATATTGTTGATTTATGGAGGGATTTCAAGGAGGCTTTATCTGGTAAGTACTTTTTCCTCTACAGTCCTTTGTCTCTTTAACTTTAAAAAATTACATGGAAGTAGAAAGTGCTGATGAAGCTCAAATACAAGGGCCTCTTTTTAGACTGGTTTGATTTGATTAGTCAGCAGAGGGTGCTCTAACATTGCATTTTAAAGGGTGAAGTTTCTTGTTACCTTAACCCAAGTGTTCAAATTTGTTATTTGCTACTTTTATATTAGACTTACTTTAAGAGAATAGCTCGCGGCTTTTGCAAAGACTGCGTTGTTTGTATACCCTGAGGTGGGCTAGCTCTTTGGCCTTTTCAGTTCCAAAATTTAGAAGCAGCTTCTCTTTTTGTCACTATAAAACAAGTATCTCTAATGGGATATTATTGTTTTGTGTAAATTGACTTGTTTTCAGGACTGGTTGTTGAGAATAAGAAGTTGAAACTGCTTTTTGAATTAAAAAAAAAAAGTAAATAATCTTAAACATAGATGTAACAGGATCACCCAGAATTTAATACTCTACCTGTATGATTTCAGAAGTAAAGTCTAGCAAAGTAACTTTAACATCCTACTCATAAATACTATACAGGTTCTTTTTTTTTTTTAATGTATAGTCATTTCTCTAGAATTGTGAATTTCTTGAATTTTATTATTCTGTAAAGTAGACTGCTGAAGTGTGGTTTACTTGACACACTGTATTTGATCATGATCTCTCCAACTGTTCAGAAGCTTTTTCCTCATTATAGTAAACATCTTAAAGAAAGAAAAAAAAGAAATTTGATTTACTTACCATTTTAAAAATGTTCCCTTGAATATTCTTGTATGTTTTCATACGTAAGAGTAGACTCAGAAAGCTGTGAAGCACAATGCTAGTCTGCAGTTTGTGTTTGTACTGTAGATAAGAATAAGGCAACTGATTGTAATTATTGAATCACTTTGGTTTACATTTGAGTTACACCCATTTTATTCAGTGAAATGTAATCCTGTTTCCAGTGAATCACTAATGTAGCAAACGTATGAATAGGATGCATCCAGTTTCAGTGAAATGGAATGCGGCAGTAGTTCTCCAGTATACAGGGAACCTTCCTTTCCGTGCCGGTCTTCGAATACCGGTCTGCTGTCTGCCCGCACGTTTAGACTAGAGTGCACGCCCTTGGCGGACTGCGGAGCAGGCCCCTTGCGGCTGCATAGAGGATTGTTGTTTAAGCAGTGAAGAAAGGGTGAAGAAGAAACAACTTTTACAGAGAAAAGGGAAAATGTTACTCATTTTGAGAAATGAATTTAGAAAAGACGAGCAATATAAGAAGGAGAAAGAAAACACATAAAATGTGACAGCAGCAGACCTGGCACTCGATATTCCGGTGCGGTCCGTTTTCAGAGGGCGGTGGATTGAGCCTTTGCTGGCCGAGCGCTCTTCCGGGGCGGACTCCAGGCGCCAAGCCTCTCCGCTCCTTCCTCTATTAAATTTAGGTCAGTTGGCAGGAGTCGCCAAACGGGCTACTTTACGATTTTCTTACAGTTGCAGCCTGTGTGGTTTCTGTGTTGTTGGTTAGCAGCCTCCTGACACAACTGTACAGAATGTGTTTGGAGGAGTTGTGCAAATTAGCTTTTTTAAAATCCTTAATGTAAATCAGATCATAGTGTAAGAGAAATTCAGTACCTTTAGTTTTTGCCAGTTGTTTTATTTATTTCTTGCATATTAATGGATTAACTAGAAATAAACAGTCTTGGAGCCAGTTAATTCAGATAGTACAATTATTTGGAGTTAGCATCTTTGAATCAAAATCTTTCTGATATAAACATCTGCATTGACCCACATATGAGCTGTAGGCTTTGACAACAGAAATAGTTATTTTGTTCCTAAGTTTTTCTAACTCAGTTTTATTTTTAAGGATTATTAAGGATAATTCCTAGTTATGGTATTTAGAATGCTTTTATTTTAATACTTTATATGTATATATTTTTAAATATAAATTTTAGAAGCCATAATCCCATCCTAATCTTTAGTATATCAGGGTCACCATTTACCATCTGAGACCAGTAGCACTTTAATATATGTGTGTGTATATATATATTTAAGTCATTTTATAAATAACTTAGAGAAGTAGGAATGAAAGAATAGTGTGTAACAGTTTCATTAGAAATTTTTAAAAAGCATTTAAATGTAGAAAAAAATAAAATTTTCACTCTATTTTCCTGGTTTTGAAGGTATATATACTGGAAATGGGCAACGTCCTCTGAATGCAGCCAGCCGCTTATGGGTCGTCAGACACTTCCCAGCAGTTCTCTGAGAGCTTCTAGGTTATCATTACTTCTGGCTTTTCTTGCACTCAACAGTGATGCTTGAAGAAATTTTTAAAACCCTTGACATCATGACTTTATTGTAAAATATTTTTTAAATTAGTACACGTCAGTTAGAATGATCTGTCCAATACTTTTTCATTTCTACATCATCTGATTCCTTCCAGTCATTTTTGTGTACAAATTTGCCTTTAGCATTCACAGTGCACAAATGGCATAAAAGGTAAAAAAAAAACACTGTCATATAGCCTTTTGGCGAAATTGAGTGGTCTAGATTCTTGTCATAAAATACTGTTTGATGAAATCCTTCCTGTTGAATGACTAAGTGGATAAGAATGCCGTGTATCCTTAGAAATACATTGTTCATTAGTTTTTGAATTCTATAAAATTCATTTAGGAAATCATCTCAAGACTCAGTCTGAGGTTTCACTTAATTTTACCATTGTCAATAAAGTCTAAAGTACTGCAATCCGTGTCTTTGCAAGTATCTTCTGATTTATCTAATAATTAATTGTGCTACATCTTCCCTTGTCAGTTTTCTTCTCTTTTCCATTGTAGGTGGAAAATTAAGGCATTTTGAATTTTGAGCTCTATTAATCTAGCTAAAAGCAGACTCCAAAGATAGGGTCTGCATCCTTATTTTATACTTTCTTGAAATATGTAATATTTTAGATGACAGTAAGAAAATGGAAAAAGGATGCATCATTGTATCATTCTGGAAGGCATGCCATTATTCTTCCAAAATTACATTTTAGTCTTTTCTTTTTTTTTTGCATAGTTGGGAATAATTGATGTAATGATGAAATAATTGCTAGAATGATGAAATAGCAAACAGTTTCAAGACATGTGAAAAAATAAGATCACTAAGATCCCATAATATATCCTAGATTTATAAAAGGGCCCAGTGGATCTGTATGACTATTAGTAGGTAGCATGTTTTATGCTTTTCTTTTTTACATGAGTGTTTTCTGTGGTTTTTGGGAGACCTTTAAGAAAAAATAAGTTATCAAGTATCAATCCTGAAGTAGAACTACTCAAAAAGGAAACTCAGAATCCAAAACAGGGTCCATTGGCTCTTTATGGGATTCCAGGGGTTGACTGACTCGCCTGTGGATCTTGGATTTACGCAGTCAGCAGGTATTACCTGCTTTGTTAAAGATCTTGTGCACTTATAGTCTCTTTTTTATATCATGGGTAAAACAATAGTTGATGATAATGAGCCTTTTAATGTTTAACTTGTATTTTGACCCAAATACTTCTTATTTCTGTTAAAAATTGGGTTTGATTTTATGTGACATTATAGATTGCTTTAAGGTGACATTTGATTTAGCTTTAGAATTTACTTACGGTTCTATTTGTGAATGGCAGAGAATGTGTACAACCCTGAATTACTAGTCATTTTATGGGATCACTAGTGGATCTGTTCAATAAATCACTACATAATTTGCTAAAGGGATTCTATAATTGTGGGTACAGTGATACATCGAACTTGGAAAGCAGTATGCTCTGTTAGTTTGCCCTAATTGCAGATACCTAAGACAGACATTCTAAAAAAAGTATGGAGACTAGAAATGTGCAAGCCATAATGTAGAGTTCTGGACAATTTTAAGAGTTCAGAGAGAAGGACTAGAGCTCAATAAAATCTATAGCTTGTCTATAGTGTAATATATATATTTTTTGATTATTATTTTTATTTTAGTTTTTTACTTAGGCCAGAGTTTTTTCTGGTTTCTAAAATGTTTCTGAAGGAAATAATAAGGAAATGTTCTGTTTTTTAGATAGTCCAAAATTTCCTTCAGTGTTCATATCTAGTCATGAAAGAGTCTTGTTAGATGCTGACTTTCAAACAGAGAGAAGTTAAAGGGTTTTTTATTAGGAGAAACAGTGCATATATGACTAAAGCTACCCACTGTTTTATTTTACTATCAGGGCATTCATCCTAAATTCATTCTAGATAAAATACATGAACTCTAATGGCTGATGACTTTTCCAGTTATATTATGTAGATGTAAGCAAGCACAGACGGCATAGCTAGCATTTGAATCTTGGTCAGGTAATATATGGGGTCACTCATTTTGAGGGGCAATTAGATGTGTTTTAAAATTTCTCATTTCTTAAATCTAGGAGTAACTAAGGAACAGATTGTCCATAAACGAAGTCAACCTCTTTTTGCGTTTGTATTACTTAATTCTGATTTACTAATTAAGCAATTTTAGATTCTTTAAAAGGATGATTTTAAAAGTAAGGTTTACTCATTGAAAGTTGCAAGGTTTGTATTTTTAACTTTTGTTTATTGCTAAATATTTCGCTTCACTGTGAGTAATGGTTATATTATGAAATGTTCTCTTACTTAGAAAGTCCAAAACAAAGTGAATTTGTCATTGCAAGGGAGACAACTGACGGCATTTTTTGCCAGTGATAAAATTTGAACTTCTAAGTGAGAGTTAGAATTTTGGAGAATAAAACTTTAGAATTAGGTTGCAGAAGAATATTCATTGACTTTTGAGAATGTTGACAGTATTGAATGAAGAAAGTATGTTATAGCAGTTTGTAAAGGATAAGTGTAATCTATGTTTAGATCTGTATGCATAAATAAAAAACTGGAAATTTGTATGCTATAATGTTAATAATAACCACGGAATAGGTTTTGCGTGCCTTTTTAGGTGCTTTTCTCTGTTCTTAATGTCTCCTAAAATTTTAAGTTGTTTTCAAGATAAAAAAATACTTAAATAAACTTTAAAACACTGGTTGCCCAATATGAATACTGGGATGATAATTAAATACTGTGGTACTGGGACATAACAGTGCTCAGGGCGATGAAAAGATGCTGTAGCAATATCCCATTATGTATTTTGAGGCTTCCCTGGGGAAGGAAATGGTTAGAAAACCACCTGATGCCTGGAAACTATGCCTGTCAGCCCAGGCAAGAAACTGTACACCTGTACCTTCCTGTGATTTGTGGTTTCAGCCCCCTTGTATTTGATGGTAAAACATGTGCTGGAAATTGGTTTTGGAATAATAGTTATAGCTTTAAATACTTATTCTTTCTTAAAACATACTCTTTCATTTTTAGGCATTATCCAATTGGTTTGCTATTTGATCTTCTTGCATCAAGTTCAGCTCTTCCCTGGAACATCACAGTACATTTTAAGGTATAGTTTAAATAGCATTTCCCATTCACCCCACTTGTGCTACTTAGTAAGCAGCCTTAGAGTAGAATTCTTTTTTTTTTAAAGTGAAGTCATTTATTGCTTTTCCCTTGACACTTTTTGATTGCTAACCTGCCGTTGGTGTTCATCTATAAAAGCTTTCAATTTCTTCCTAGCTTTTTACAGAACCTTTTAACTCAAAGAATAGGCATTTAAACACATAATGTATAAACGCCTATTCTTTCTTGAAGCTGAATACACTGTGTTTAACATTTTTAATATTTTGGAGTATTTATATTCATTTAAAAAATCAAATAGGAACAATAAATCCTGAGTTTAGATAAGGGGGCATGGGAGTGGGGAAGAGGACAGTCTAACACTGTCGAGGTCACTGAGGTTATTTTGATTGAATTGTGAGAAGGGTTCGGAGACAGAAGTCCAAGCCCTTGCTCTGAGTCTGTTGTGAGAGACACTAATTCCTGTAATTTTAAGACCGGGATAGATTTATTGTAACCTAATTTTGTCCCAGTATTTTATGAAGCGCTAGTCTCTCTTTCCTCCAACCACACTGATTGCCCACCCCCCACCCCCCAAGCAATTCGTAAATACCATTAATTGATCGCTAGGTGATGATTTTCCAGTGGTGATGGCGAGTGGGCGGGAGGCATGTCAGTTAACATTTAGGGGTCTAATTTGCTTTCCCGTAAGGGGCATTCATTTGAAGTCACTGCCCAGAGACTGCTTACCCACTCTTCCTGAAATGCTTTTGTTCCCATTTTACTGAAATTGAGTGTGTGGTCATTGGTGTTTATTTCCCTGTCGTTTGCACTAATGCACTTTGCCCAGCACTGCGTTACCGCAGAGCCATGCAGAGTGAGGCTGTGGTGCTGATACACATGAGTTTCAGTTTCCATGGTGCTGTGCATGTCCAGGACTGGCTGTGTCTGTGACCTTTTAGTTGAGAATGGCATGATGGTAAAACCACCCCAAGCATGATGAGGGTAGAGTTTTCATAGTGCCTAACAAGTCTTTTCTATTATATTGAAAAGTACTTCATAATTAGATTATTTGTGTGGATGGTGTGTCTATGTGCAATCTAAAAGACTTTCAAATCTAGGTTAAAATATATCATAGCTACCCATTTATTTATTCATTAGCAAATATTGAGAGCCTGCTGTGTGCCCCCCAGGCACTGTTCTAAGTGCTTGAGATACATGAGTGAATGACCCAGAGACACAAACATTCCAACACTTCAAGGTGCCTGGCTGGCAATACATACTAAGCGCTCTGTAATTATTGATTGTATGAGTCCATGGATTGTAGTAATGACAGAAAAGGTATAGAATTGTTGATTGCTTCAATGTAATGGTTCTCAGAGTGATCTGTGGACCCCTGGGCTTCCCCATGCCCTTTCAAAGGATCTATGAGGTTGAACCTGTTTCCATAGTAATTTTAAGATGCTGTTGGCCCTTTCCACTGTGTTTACATTTGTACTGACCTGCCAATGCAATGGTGGGTGAAACTGTTGGCATCTTAGCACAAAGAGAGGCTGGCATCAACCCACACTAATATACTGCACAGTGGTTATTGTGTTCTTCACACTTGCAGTAAAAACAGTTCCAGTTTTCACTTAAGATTGGATGAAGCAGTACAGATTAATGATGAGTATTTATCGTGACTGTTTAAGTACATGTCTTTTTAACCTCCTGTGTGATGAAATGGGAAAGTACACAGAAAGCACCCCTGCTTGTTGCCAAACAGGATAGTTTTCTTAAGGAAAAGCACTTGTGACCTTGGTTGAGTTGCAAGCTGAGTTCACTTTTTTCATGAAACACCATTTTTACTTTGAAAGAATGACCGAAAAAGTGTGGTTATTCAGACTTGGGAATTTGTAAAGCCATTTCATGAAAACAAAGTGTATTTGTCATTGCAAGGGAAACAACTGATGGCATTTTTCGCCAGTGATAAAATTTGAACTTCTAAGTGAGAGTTAGAAATTTGGAGAACATGTATCTGCCACCATGAACTTGACAACCTTATTATCTTTAAAGAACTCTCTGGTGAGATTGGTGGTTATTGTAACAAATCTGATTTTTAAGAGATTTTATACAATGAAATGTGTCACCATTTGGAGAAGATCTACATTTAACTCAGTTAACAAATATTTTCCAAATGACCAATGCATGATGTTACAAAATCATGCATGTGTGAAAGATTTGTTCAAAGACCAAGGTTAGAATCAGGGATTTTAATGAAACAGAAGTCAAATGTTTATTGACGCAGTTTCAGAGTCTACATTAGTGTTATAATAAATCCTACTTAGTTGAATTTGTGTAGTATCCAAACAATATCAACAAACCTAAAAATGCTATTAAAAATATTATTCCTTTTTTCCCACTACATATTTTTATAAGCTTGTACACTTATATAATCTAATGAAGTTCTAACCATTGTAGAATATTGAGCATAGAAGCAAATAAGATAGTCCATCTACTTTTTATTAAGCCAGACATTAAAGATGCTTACAAAACTAAAATAGTGCCAATCTCCTCTCTATGCTTTTGTTGTTCTGGAAAATAGTTATTTTTCACAAAAATATGATTTTTATGTTAACATGTACTGGGTTTATTCTTGGTATTTTTAAATGAATTGCTCTTTTTAAATGAATTGCTGTCTCTACTAGGTCATATTTTCTTACAGATGGAAAGTTTATTAGGGAAATCAAGTAGAAAGCAGAATCTTAGCGCTAATAAGGAAATTGTAGAAGATGTTTTAAATTTGCTTAAACTAACAGCGTTTCTATTGGGTGTTCTTTCTGACTCTGGCCTGTGCTGGGGGAAAATCATTGCCCAGTTTCCTTTCTGTATACTAAGCACCCTTTATTTAGGGTTGTAAGGCTTAGCTTCCCTTAGAGGTTGTCCCCTGGCGTTTCACTGGGAGCTTATACTGACTGATACAGGCCCACCTCCCTTGTTTTACCTTATGGCTTCTGATTGATGACCCTCAGTAAGCATCACATTGGCAGGTAGAAAAGCAGTGCTTTTAGAGTGAGGAAGCAGCTTTTCTTTTTAACTTTCTAGCAAATAGTTTATCATCAACAGATTGAATTTTTAAGTAACAACTTTGTCAGTTGCTGTGTCAGTGTTTATTTTATCTTTCATGATGTTGTGTTTAGAATGTCACATGCTGGCTATGTTTTAACCAGGCTGCTTGGAAGTTATTTCTTTTACAGTTGCTTTCCAAGATACTTATTTATTTTGATTAAATTTTGTGCAATACTTAAGTCTTTCCCCACTGCCTGTAACACACACAAACACCACACACACACACACACACAGGTCAGGTTGGAGTTCAGACTGAATTCTTAGAAGGGAGCATGCCCACTAAAAAGCCTTCAAGTGGACATATAGTCTCTGATTTTTAACTCACTTTGATGCTTGTAATTTGAATAGAATTATAATATTTATAGTAAATTAATTTTAATGTCTAGAGCAGTGCTTTTTAAACTTTAATGTGCATGCAAATCACCTGAATATCTTGCTAAAGTGCAGATTTTGACCTGATTCTGTAGGGCTGGGTTGAGGGCAGACATTCTCTATTTTTAACGGAAAAATCACAGGTGAATGGGATGTTGTGGGCCCACCAGCCCACATGTTGAATGACAAGAGTACAGAGAACCATGCAGATTATTATTAATAGTTAGTAATATTGTGTACAGAACCAAAAGGTTATAATAATGGTTTGGTTTTAATTAATATTTTTGGGGAAATTTTTATATTATTTTTTTGCATTCTGAGATATATAATTGTAAAGTGGTAAATGCTTTAAAACACGTAGATACTGGTATTTGCTTTCTTTCTCTATTTACCAAAAGGAGTGAAAATGGTATCTTCTTCAGACTTTTCTAATTAACTTCAAGGACATTTTAGATTCCTAAACTTCACTAACCTACTGAGAAAATTATCTTATTCCTCTTTCCTCAATTTGTTGTGTTTTGGAAAAGTCGAGAACTGTACAGTGAACATCCAAATACCTTTCACCTGGACTTACCACTTAACGTTTTGCAACCTTTGCTATTTCTGTCTGTGTTTTTTTCTCTAATATTTTCATTAATCCTCTAGGTGCACTCCTTGCAAAGCTGCATTTTAACCAAAAGGTTGCTAACAGTGTGTGGAATTTTTAAAAAGGGAAAATAGTAGTGTGAGTCAAAAATTTAGTAATATCAAGTGAAGATATTGGGCTCTTTAAAATGCCCAGTTCTGTTGCATATACTAAATAAAGTTTAATGAGTAAACAAATCTAAGAATAACTTGGCATTTTTCTTTTCCTCCTGATAACATAGTGCTAAATTAGTGTATTTTGGTTTTGATAAGAGTAGAAATTCTAATTTTGAATTTTGATGGTGATTATTTGGGGTCAGAGCTCACATTTGCTGGGTAAAGTTGGGTCAGCATTAAGGTAAGTGCTTCTGTGCAAAGCATTGCTGAGTGGTTGTGACCAGACAAAGCCTGGTTTGGGGACCAAGGCACTCATCCTACAGTGGTAGGAGGCACTGCCACAGCCCTGACTGTTCATGTATGACTGACCGAGACCTTCTGTCGATGGACACGTTCTTCTGTGCTTGGCCGAGAGCCACTGTGTCTGTCCAGGGTAATTCACCATTCTCCTGCTGATTCCGCCTGCGTGTTGAGGACGTAGGTCTCACGTATCTTTCCTTGTGGAAGATACTCCATGGTCTCTCCCATGTTTCTGCTGCCCGGACTTCCCACCTTCGTTCTTTATGGATTTCTGGCTCAAGAGCACCATGAATCTGATTCCCTTTGTACCTAGAGAGACAACTTGATTGTCTCAACTGTTCCTTTCTGCTCCAGGCAACTGTGACCAGTAGATAGTAGTAATATAGTGACTCACCTTGTACTCAGCAGATCTATGAGATCAGACTCTGCTAGAACAGAAGGAAGTATGTGTCATTTTTTACATTTAAAAAATACACTTTAGGAAATAGCCATGGGTAGCAAGTGCCCTTTCCTCTGGTAGGACGGCATCTGCTGGACGTTTCCTTGTCATTCGGGGGCTTTCCGTGGCTTGGACAATAAATGGTGTCTCTTAGTAGAGTAACCCAAGGAGCCTATAGCTCCACATTTTCTCCTGCTATTATTTGACTCAGTTTTTACTGACAGCTTATAGAACAGTGACTTTTTTGGTAATATAATCATTATCTCAAGTACTTAGGTCTTCCAAGAAAATGGTGTCACATCGGATCCTCGAGTCAAACTAGTCCTGGTCCACCTCCTCCACTTGAAGGCTCCGGCTCCATCCACTCTTGAGCTTTAGGTTCTTCATCTGTAAAAGAGCAGTACCACCAGCGCTAACCTAAAGGGTTGTCATGGCTGATAGAATCTGTATGAAAAGGCCCAGTACAATGTCTGCTCCCTGCTAAGTGTTCAATTAATGTTGCCTACTGTCTTTCTTTTTTTCAGTGAAAAGTGTTGTAGTCGTCTTATTTACACAACTGCTTATCTGTCCAGTGATCACTTCCTCAGTTGCCTGAAAGGTTCAGTGAAGGTATAGGATGTAAATTTAGGTATTTGACCTTAAAAGGTACATTTGAATAGCTTTATTAAGATCTAATTGACTTATAACAAACTATACATGTTTAAAATGCACCCTCTTATATGTTTGTACCATGCTTTACCTGTTGACATAAAGGATGTTTCCTGTTAGCATTCACATACAAGTCTTTGTGTGGACATAACACTTTTATTTCTTGTAGGTAATTACCTAGTTGTAGAATGACTGGATCTGATGGCAGGTGTATGTTGACCTTTTTTAAGGAATTACCAAACAATTTTCCAAAGCAGTTGTACTGTTTCACCCTCCCAACAACCGTGTATGAAGATTCCACTCCACATTCTTGCCAACACTAGGTATGGTCAGGCAACAAGCTATTTTTTAAATTATTACTCTTTCATATCTTTGCATATGATAAACACACATCATACTACAAAAGAATTATTTGGAAAAAGTACAAAATATGCCAGATAGCCAAAGATTTTTTAATTCACTTAAAAAAAGTATTTGGAATTGTACTGAAATCTCTTTACTGGGAGGTTAAGAGAAAGTTTGCTAAAAATATTAGATAATTAAATTAGGGAAGAAACACTTCTTTAAGATGTTAATTTTGTGATGTGTGTACCTGTTTTTATATGTGTATTTTTTTTCCTTTGATAGAGTTTTCCAGAAAAGGACCTTCTGCACTGTCCATCTAAGGATGCAGTTGAAGCTCATTTTATGTCTTGTGTGAAAGAAGCTGATGCTTTAAAGCATAAAAGTCAAGTCATCAATGAAATGCAGAAGAAAGACCACAAGCAGCTGTGGATGGGCTTACAGAACGGTAAACAGCGCGTGTGATTCCAGGGCGCCGCCGTGGGAAGTGACCACAGTCCGCTGAGATTGGTGCAGCGTACGATTGGTGGTACAGGTTTCAGTTCTAGCCTCTGTGCCCAGAATTCTGCAGAAAGCCACCTTCAGTCACCCCTTGCATTGTACCCTTCCAGCACCCATCTGTTCATGGGTTCCCTAGTGTTAGCACGGTTGCTTTTTCTGTAACCTATGTTGGTGTAAGTAAACTTCCTGTGCTTAGCTTCTGGAGAAAGTACTCGTATACCTAGTCACGATCTCTCTGGAATCGGCCCTGAATACCCTGTGCGCACCCCAGAGCGCCCCCACTTGAGTAGAGCATGAACTCCAGCCTCTGCTTTCTCAGAACAGGAAACTTGCTTTGAGCTCTGGGCTCGGACTCTCTCTCCTGGCTGGGATTCAGAGTACACACTCAAGGAGAGCGTGGCAGGAGCCTGCAAGTCCCCTCCGTGTTCCCCACCTTTCAGAGCTTGCTGTGACCGAGCTTTGCCCACCCTGGTGCCCCCGGTGCCCTTGAGCAGTCGTTCTGTATGCAGGCTGTCCCCACTGTGCACGGGTCCAACGCGCTTCGGTTAACATGCTTTAGCTAAGTGATACCAGTTCCTCAGCAATATGGTTCCTGTTTCATTTACTACCACTTATTAACCGAGTAATTACGTAAAGTACAGACTTTATTGCCAGCTCTCCAGTTCATGAATCTTTATATAACAACAGATATACATCATTATCAGTGACCAGTCATGTCACGTTCAGTGTCTGTCACTGAATAATTGTCACGCATCTGTTACTTAGTTTACCCGCAGACAGCAAAACATGTGGTTGTATTGGCTCCTTGTCTCCAGAGATAAGCCCACATAACATTTTATAAAACGGGATAATTGAAAGAGGGAATTGGCCAAGAAAGATGAAGGTGTGGAAAAGAAACAGTAAGTGATAATGCCAGAAGTGAGATTTGAATAGAATGTAATGGAATTAGACGAAATAGTTGACTGTGAGAATGTTGGCACTGTTGCCATTTGAGAGACATTAGGTGTGCAGCCCCCGAAGCTTAGCGAGGGTGAACTTTTCCACGTAAATGGAGAGAGTAGTGGTGACAAAAAAGGGTGAGGTTATTCCAGAAGAAAAGATGCTGGCAAAAAACTTCGCATTAAAGGAACTCACGGAGTTTCGTAACATTGAAAGCACAAATGACAACTTGTTGGGAAGTGGATCTGAACTTAGAAAGGATGTGACAATTTACCAAGGTTTAGGAAAGATGCTGGCTTGTAAGTTACATGTCAAGTAAACATGCACTGTTCAAACTGTGCTTAAGTGTTTTACAAAGAAATAAAATTCTTTTTTAATTCTCAACATTTCTAATGCTTTAAATTACAGAGTACTAAGTAAATGTTAGTTTTATTTACATTTTTCATTTTCCTATACATTTGTAAACAACAGGTGTTAATGTTTTGACATTTTTAAAGATCACAAAACTATCATAATTTTTCCTGTTAATTATTAAGATCACTTTATGTGGTTTCATTGTCACTTTTCCAGCTCCATGTTACTATCAAAGCAAGACTGAATGTATTTTCTTGATCTTGGGCAGGTGTTTTTGGACAAGGAGTTACTCCAATATAAGCTGCTCATTAATGGCAATAATTAGAAGAAAATAGAAGGAACCCCCCAACCTCCCCACACCCTCCAAAAAACCATAATTAAGAAAAACGTGACTCAGTTTTATCTTTTGGACTATACTATTACCATGTCAAAGAAATGTTTATAATTATTTAGTATTTATTACTTAAATTATTCAAAGTATAGGGCATTACCAATGACTTCAGTAGCTCAAAAGGCATGTATTTTATGACAATGTGTAGTAGAAATTAAATTTTTTCATTTAAGTTTCTTAGATCTGACCTGAGTTACATGGAGTTGCTCCTCAGTTTCATACTTATACACCTGGTATTTTTTTTTTTTTGAGAGGGCATCTCTCATATTTATTGATAAAATGGTTGTTAATAACAATAAGATTCTGTATAGGGGAGTCAATGCTCAATGCACAATCATTAACCCATCTCAAGCCTAATTCTCGTCAGTCTCCAATCTTCTGAAGCATAACAAACAAGTTCTTACATGGTGAACGGATTCTTACATAGTGAATAAGTTCTTACATGGTGAACAGTACAAGGGCAGTCATCACAGAAACTTTCGGTTTTGATCACGCATTATGAACTATAAACAATCAGGTGAAATATGAATATTCGTTTGATTTTTATACTTGATTTATATGTGCATCCCACATTTCTCCCTTTATTATTATTATTATTTTTATTTTTAATAAAATGCTGAAGTGGTAGGTAGATGCAAGATAAAGGTAGAAAACATAGTTTAGTGCTGTAAGAAGGCAAATGTAGATGATCAGATGATCAGGTGTGTGCCTATGGACTAAGTATTAATCCAGGCTAGACAAGGGCAGCAAGACATCCACGGATGCAGAAGATTTCTCTCAAAGCAGGGGGGGTGAGGTTCTGAGCCTCACCTCTGTTGATCCCCAAATTCTCACCTGATGGCCCCCCTGCGACTGTGCCTGTCTTAGGTTGTTCCTCCCTTGAGGAATCTTACCCGTCTCTGGCTAACCAGTCATCTTCCGGGGCCATACAGGGAAATGTAAAGTTGGTAAGTGAGAGAGAAGCCATATTGTTTGCAAAGGTTAGCTTTTTACTTCTTTGCAGATTTATGCCCTGTGGCTTCTATGCCCAGCACTTGTCTCGAGGTATCTTTACCACCTGGAGGAATTATGATACTCGGTAAATTCGATATGAGGCACGAATTCTATTTAAGGTTTGTAATTAGGAAGGAAGAAGAAAAGCTATAGATGTAGCATATGAAGGAAACTTGGGAGGATTGATTATTTCTTTGACATATCTTCTTGTATAGTACCTTAAGTATGTATAGGTTTTAAACTACTAACTAATTTGCACACACATATTAACATAATAGGAATACGGTGACATAAACAAAGCAAATCTATAATTACCAGCCATCTCCAGTGAAGCCAAGAAAACCATTTAGGCACCCTAGGCATTTGTGAAAATTTATCTATGATATGATGGATATTTTCCAACTGTACTTGAACCATCAGACAAATTAAAGCAGCCCATTTCTGGGATCTGTTCACATCCCATATGTTCTTTTAACCATAGATAGTCTATAGTCATGAGATTTTGGGGTGCTACAACTTGCACCCCTCCCAACTCCTGGTTGAGTTCCAACAGTACAGATCCAGTCAAATTCGTTGTCTCACTGTATGCACATGCCAGCCTAGACATCTCCCTCCTCCTTCTTATGGCAAGTCCAGGAGATGGTGGGCTGGATGCAGCCACAACCGCAGCATCGTCCGGATCCCTGTGGAGGCTTTTTGATGATCATCCCCCGGCACGAGTCCTCCAGAGAGTGCTGATGCCGGAAGCTCCTCCTCATATCGTATCTTAGTTCATTTTCTGGGTATCCAAGCTAGGCCTTGATCTTCTGCGTAGAAACAAACAGACCCTTTGCCCACACTTTGACATGCCCTCTATACCACTGTGCAGAACTCATTGGAGGTCAGCACACAGTAACTTTTTTTTTTTTTTTTTTTAATTAAGAGAAAGGAATATTATCAGAAAAGAGTACCTCCATAGCTGATCATCTGACACCCTTTAAGTGATCAACATTAAGGATATTTAAAGCATGCGTTGATCTTTGATTTACCAATAGTTTTATCCTGTTAAGGAGTAATCCCCCTTTTCTTTCTTTCTTTTTTTTTTTTTTTAAATTTTTAATCTACACTTACCTGAAGAATACTATGTTTACTATGCTCTCCCCTATATCAGGTCCCCCCTAACAACCACATTACGGTTACTGTCCATCAGCTTAGCAAAATGTTGTAGAGTCACTACTTGTCCTCTCTGTGTTGTGCAGCCCACCCTCCCCTTTCTCCCTCCCCCCCATGCATGCTAATCTTAATACCCCCCTTCTTCTTCCCCCCCCTTATCCCTCCCTGCCCACCCATCCTCCCCAGTTCCTTTCCCTTTGGTACCTGTTAGTCCATTTTTGGGTTCTGTAATTCTGCTGCTGTTTTGTTCCTTCAGTTTTTCCTTTGTTCCTATACTCCTCAGATGAGTGAAATCATTTGGTATTTCTCTTTCTCCGCTTGGCTTATTTCACTGAGCATAATACTCTCCAGCTCCATCCATGTTGCTGCAAATGGTTGGATTTTTCCACTTCTTATGGCTGAGTAGTATTCCATTGTGTATATGTACCACATCTTCTTTATCCATTCATCTACAGATGGACATTTAGGTTGCTTCCAATTCTTGGCTATTGTAAATAGTGCTGCGATAAACATAGGAGTGCATCTGTCTTTCTCAAACTTGATTGCTGCGTTCTTAGGGTAAATTCCTAGGAGTGGAATTCCTGGGTCAAATGGTAGGTCTGTTTTGAGCATTTTGATGCACCTCCATACTGCTTTCCACAATGGTTGAACTAATTTACATTCCCACCAGCAGTGTAGGAGGGTTCCCCTTTCTCCACAGCCTCGCCAACATTTGTTGTTGTTTGTCTTTTGGATGGCAGCTATCCTTACTGGTGTGAGGTGATACCTCATTGTAGTTTTAATTTGCATTTCTCTGATAATTAGCGATGTGGAGCATCTTTTCATGTGTCTCTTGGCCATCTGTATTTCTTTTTTGGAGAACTGTCTGTTCAGTTCCTCTGCCCATTTTTTAATTGGGTTATTTGTTTTTTGTTTGTTGAGGCGTGTGAGCTCTTTATATATTCTGGACGTCAAGCCTTTATCAGATCTGTCATTTTCAAATATATTCTCCCATACTGTAGGGTTCCTTTTTGTTCTATTGATGGTGTCTTTCGCTGTACAGAAGCTTTTCAGCTTAATGTAGTCCCACTTGCTCATTTTTGCTGTTGTTTTCCTTGCCCGGGGAGATATGTTCAAGA